TACCATTATGGTTAACTACGGTATAAAAGGGAGTACCACTCATCTGCTGTAGGAGAACCATTTAGTTGATTTAGGGTACCATTTAGCTGCATCATGTGATATAATAAATTATTTATTTGCTACTACAACGTTATCCTTCCGTCTATTAACTATTCATCTATTACTTTCTTATTTTACTAACTTTTAAGTAAAGGGTAGTTGGTTTTAATAAGTGAATTGCAAGGTAAAGTACGTACAACTGTGACAATGAATACCCACAATGTAAAAGTAAATTATCTAATTAAATACAGGTAGATTTTAATTGTGAAATTAAAGGTGGTTGGATGTATTCAATTCCACAACAACTAATGGTCTATATAATTCAACTACAAGTGTTACTACCATTACATAACATAACAAACAACCAGAAGTAAAAGAGAAGTTCAACCTCAACCTTATGGGCAACAAAGGTACTACGAAGGCTTATCCTACTATTTCAGTGGTCCTCTCATATTACTAAGTGCAACATGTGGCATATGTAGTAGTATTTGGTTGCATTCAGTGGCACTTATAAATATGTCAATTGGTAAATTTAAATGCATACACGTTTAAAATGATGTTTCAGTGGTACTAATAAAAATGTTTTGTTTCGGTTGTGCATCTAATTCTCGTGAGGAACGAAAACGTAAGAAGCTATTACGAAGGGTCGCCAAGATCAACAAAACCGGGGTGCACGATACAAATGCTATCATTAGGGATATGTACATGCCTAAACACAGCCAGCGTATGATGTTATGTCATCAACTAGCCACGATTGCAAGGGGTGGCTTAGAAGAACCGATCAAAGGTATAGATTTCCATCCAAATCACCCTTTTTTCACTCTATTCAAGGTTGGTAGAGCACGTTACTTACGTAAGGAGGCTTTTTGTTTCATGTGGAACTTGGTCGATGTTGCAAAGATAGCCATCTCTTTCAACTTGAGAACCTTAAGGAGATCTCTAGCTGAGTGTTATGCGTACCCACTTTACCACACCTACCTCAAACGTTTCTTTGAGTTTTTCCAATACCTTGAGGATTGGTGGTTGGATGTGGATGAGCAAATTGGCAAGGGGAATGAGTGGGGAGTTATCCTTGCTGGTAAGAGGTTCACTACACCTAATGAACAAGGAATCAAAGTGACATATCAATGGCTGAAATTCACACAAGAGGATCCAACCGAGGCTATTACAACCAACCCCGAGCAGCGCATTGCATTTCGACGTCAAATGTTGTCTGAAAATGGATTTGATGAGATGGCTAACTTATCTCTTGTTAATGCTGAACCATTCACCTACAATGACTACCCACCTGAGTATGTCAGACGCATACAACATGCACTCCATTTGTATGAGACAAATGCGGCAAGTGACTCCGCTGAGGGTGTTGGGTGGACATCGGAGTCTAGTTTTGAGTTTTGTTGATTGCTCTTGTTGATTGCTCGAGACTGGTGTTGTTAAAGCTACTAGTAAATTAGAAATTAAAGAGTGTTTGTAAAGCTATTAGTAACTTATTAATGAATTATTGTTTTTATGGGTGTTTTTATGGGTATTAGTAAGTTAAAATGAAATTGGTCTATCAAAAGCTACTAGTAAGTTACAAATGAATTTGTATTTCAAAAGCTATTAGTAAATTTCAATTGTATCACTGTTTAAACCTAGATTTATTTTATGAAATTTGAATCAACCTTGTGGGAGTTTATTTTCCAGACTTACTTAAATCAATTATTAATTAATTAATTGAATTGTATGTGTTCCTTGTGTTTTCCTTTTGTTCTAAAGCAACAAAGTACACATAAACACCAACCACTTAGATTAACTAATAATTCCACAAATTATTAAGCAACAAACAGTCTAAGCAACCTGCATTGTCTACAACAACAAAGTACACATAAACACCAACCACTTGGTTAAACACACCGCCACAAATAACCACCTAAATATTCTAATTCACACCCCAAAAATACCCCAACAGTTTTCCCTTAGATTAACTAATAATTCCACCACCTAAAAATACCTAACTGACCACAACTACAAAGTGTTTTGAGAAGACAATGTCCTTCTAGGCCGGACTCGATCCTTGGGCAGAATTTCATCAAATTTTGCTAATAATTCGTTGCAAGAATTGTTTGCATCCTCCAAAAACAACCTCTTCTTTAAGTTCTTCTCCTGCACAAAATAATTTCAAAAATTGTTATACAACTTCTCCGGACAAAATACCAAAGCACCCATCTACAACACAATAAACATACAATAAACGTACCAGAGAGTAACTAGTATCAGGACCATTACGGGCACAATGCTTAATGCAACCAAGCATTAGCACACCACAGGAGAAACTATACATTAATAAGATGTGGTTAGTTGAATTGAACAAAATGTAGTATGACATTATATGCGACAGCTAATAAACTTACGTATCCGTCTGCTTCACCATGCCCACCACATGCTTGGGCCATTTCTCACAAGTCCCCAACTCCCAAAACGGATCATTCAATTGGAAAAGAACATCAATGGCCTTCACCTGCCCGATTGGTACAAATTTTAAAATCTCACCATTTTAAAATTATATTGTTAAAACACAAACAGTGGGGTGGCCTAGTTACTAACCAATTCAGAAACAAGCTCTGAATGTTGTTCATAAGGATCCGGATATAATGAATCAATCATCCAGAGGAAAAACACCTGTTTCACAACGAACATTATAAAATACATGTGCTCAAATGATTTTTAGCTTGCCTATCTCAGTACTTCTCTCCTTCTCTCCTTGATGATCTGACAGGGTACTAGGCCAGGGCTGCATATGTATTTTCCCTGGTAGTTTGGCTTTGAGTATTTCAAGGTGGACTTTCATATATGCATTTCCTCCAAGTTACAACAGTGCCCTGATCAATGAACTTTAAGAGGCTAAATGTATACAATAAAAGGGTACTATTGCACCTTGCATGAATGACTTTCACTCACAACAGAACCATGGAAAAAAAGAAAGCGTTATGTAAAACATGTATGATGCCACGCAAAGAAACACTCAAGGTTCTAATAATAATTAGAATTACCATTGAAGACCTTAATATACTTCATATATAAGAAACCTCTTGGTCTGGTAAGTGTTAAAGTACAGTTACTAACTAATGCTCATAAGATTAAGATAGGTATTCAGAATGTTGTATCAAGTTTACTACAATCAACAACCCCACTTTTTCTAAGAGCAAGATAGTAAATGGGCCATCCTTCTAATTCATTTTCATGAGAATAACACCTAAGAACTAAAGATATGAAGCATACCCAAAGCTACAGACTCTTATTGCAAAGCAACATATAATGCAAAGCTACAAAAACTAAAATTATAAAATACAAAACTTAGGTACATACTAGTCGAATATCATCATTTCGAATACTTAACAACAGCTTCCTTGCAAGATTCGCATAATCCTTTTCCTTAGCCTTAATCATCATCTGCATAAATCACAAGTTAATGTTAGTAAATAATGCCAATAATGACAAGTAAATCAACTCATACATCATATACTTACTGCATAGGAAGGATCTATCAAAATCCGTTTCCTCCAATTCAGAAACTCAAGTGTCCCCCAGTACTTTGTGTACAAAATCGATGTCATTCTCACATATTGATGCCCAAGATGGGCTCGAGGACCCACAACACCATAACAGTCCCTTTGTGTAGCATTCATTCCATCACACTCTATGATGGACGATCCCTCCCTGCCATTACAAACACAACCAATTAAATTGGACATAGTCTATATGGACAAACCAAATATTTTTTTTAATCTACAAGGTTGATTAAGGACAAAGTGAAGACTATCTAAATGGACAAACCAAATATTTTTCAAGTAACTTTAACATAAACCGCTATAAAGTAGAAAGGATAGACAAAAAAAAAAAACATACTGCTTTTCATCCTTCAAATCCTTCCATCCTTTGACAAAGGTCTCCAACCGCTTATCAAAAGCTGTTTCCCGAGTCATCGTATCACCAATTTCACCATTGCTAGAATTACAAGATTCCTTCTGTTCAATTGGGTTCTTCTCTTGGGGTGCTTTCAACTTTTTTGCACCCTTGTTACTACTCCCACTAAGACGAGGCTGACTCCCTTTATCTATGCTCACAGTGTACATATCAAGATAACCAGCCTTTGAACTACTGCCTAATGCTCTACCAACTATGCCCTCCACTAGACTAACAAGCCTAGGAGTTAATAGAGCAAGCACCTAACCACCATAAATAACAGAGAAACGTATTAATAATTGACTATTATTACCACATGAAAGTTATAATTCATCGAAATATATCAAGCCCAAATATGTTTACAAACGTGAACATAATACTCTTTAAACTAATAACCATCCATATTTTCATTGGGATGACTAAAACACCATCATAATAACATTCATGTATAACAATAACTAATCCTTATTTCGATTTCTGATCCAATAAGGAAAAGAACACAACATTCAAAAATGGTGGGACCATAACCATATCCCATGTACACCACTACAACTCTATTAACTAATCATAGGATTGTTAATTTTTGTAAATGTTGGTTGCTTGAGTGTGTACAGATTGTGGGTATCAAAATCATATCAAAATCATATAGAACTAATCCTATGCAAAGACAGAAAAATAAACCATCCTATTTAGAAGGCAGCAAGCTCAAACAATCCTATGCACCATAACCAAACAAACCACACGATGTATCAGCAAGCTCAAACAATCCTATGCACCATAACCAAACAAAACACAGGATGTATAAGCAATTACCTGATCCGCCATAGAATTCACCGAAGTATTAGCAACTTTACTGTGCACCAGCTCGAGATCTCCATCATCACGTGGAACCAAAGGATGGTCCTCCCCATAAGCAATGTCAAGAACCTGTTACACAACTACCAGTTAACAATCTCATTTCCAATTTAGCAACCCACCATAAATGATTAATCACAACTTTTTTTGTCCACACTCACCGGCAAAAAGCCAAACTCTTCATCAGACCTCCTATCTTCATCTACAACTGCTTTTAAATGGTCAGAATCTTAAACCTTCAGCTTGGGGTATACACCCCATCTATTTGGTACACGATGGAGGTGATCCAAATAAAAAATCTGCATTTTCGACTAACTTTAATTAGCATTCACTTTCTTAAAGCGTTAAAAAAACCAAAAACTTAGGGTATCCTTTACCATAAGAAACACGAAGCTCCCACCACAGCCACAACGGAATCCATCTCTCTGGAACTTTGTTTGAAATCGATCAGCTGAGTCGCGCACCCAGTCAATTGTGAACTTGTACCAATCATATTCTCCTGCTACAGATGCAACTACCAATGTGGGCACCAACGATACAGCCAAGTTTGAACTGTTTGTCGTCGTGCAGACTATCATTCCTAGGGCAACAATTAGGAAAGCTACCATAAAGTCCTCTTCATCAACTTCCGTCTCCAACTCCACCAGAGTACCATCTTCATGCTCACTGCAAGATTGAGAGACACAGTTCCTCGCTTCAAACCAACACCGTATTGTTCAAACACCCGCATAATCTTCTGGGTGTCGTCTTCGTCATCGCCAAGAACAAAAGGAATTTCCTTCCTTCCCATAGGAATCCCAAGAATGGACCTTACTTGGTTTGGCCCTAGCGGAAGAATTGATCCATCACCAAAGACAACTGTCCCATCACCAAAGACCCTACTCATCAGCCAATAACAAAACTGCCTCGGGATATTTTTCATATCCAAATGCAACAACCCTCCAAATCCCATACTTTCCACCAGCTCCCGTCTCTTTGGATCGAACTTCTTGACCAGATAACAAAACTTTTCCACTCGACAAACAACATTGGGCTGCTGCAAAACAAACCACACATATTAGCATTAATCCCATCACTATTTTTCAAATTCAAATTCAAAGATATTACAACTATTACCACATATTACCATTAATTCAAAGATATTACAACTAGATTCAAAGATAACCAAACCAAACCACATGACCATTACAACTATTACCAAACATATATTCCATTTGCTCAAATAATAAGAGGTTTGATGCTAATAACTCAGTCAATTCTTAGAAAATATATTCTATTTGATAATAGCAAAAAATTTCACCCGTCTGTTATTATTCCAACGACCCAAGTGGTCGGATGATTTCAAAGAGTGGAATAGCGAAATGCATGTTAAATGCACCTATAACGGCGTTCAATTATCAGAAACTGAATTTCCTAAAAACTGGTTAACAGATGGTATTCAGATAAACATATTATTTCTTTTCTGTTTTACAAAATCAAATTCAACTGTCTGATCTATAATACAACCGTCTGATCAAGATCGAATAAAAAAAGCGAACAAAAACGAAATCGAATAGATGAGTTTTGTATTTAAACATTTGTGGGCCTGAAAACTGACCTTCCTTTTAATCAAATGCATTTTTTAAACCTATTATTAAACAACTCGACAAAAAAATTGAAAACTTCAAAAAGGCCGCTTTCAAATTTGAAAAAGACTCAAACAAAAAATTCGTGAAACAAACAATTGGATTGTTGAAATATTTCTATTTTTAAAATAAATAACAAAAATAATGTCAAACGTAAATCGAATTCGACTATTTGAATTGAGAGAAGAATCGAATAAAAGAAAAAATGAAAAAGATTCATTACTCAAAAATCGCATTCCTAAATTGGATAAATCCTTCAACAACAAAACAAAAAATGAACGATCTGACTGCTAGAACAAGAATAATAAAAAAATCAAATAGAAAAAAAAGCAAAAGACAATACAAAACTAAAAGTTGGTCCTACCAAAACACCTTATCCGATGAGAAAAAATGGGAATCGTCAAAAAATATGGGTCATATATTAAAAACAAGAAATGTTCGATTAATCCGTAAATTCAATTATATTTTTTTTGAAATTTTTTAGGGAAAAGATATACGTAGATATATTTTTATATATCATTAATATTTCCAGAATTAATACACAACTTTTTCTTGAATCAACAAAACATGTAATTGAAAAATCCATTTCCAATAATGCAAAAAATCATGAAAAGATTAATACTACAAAAAATTCAGTTTATTTGGACTATAAATCATTACTTCCATTACTCTATTTCAAAATAGAAGATAACCAAAACCTACCAAAGCAAAGCACATCACATTAACATAACCATAACCTATTACCAAACCTACCTTCCCAATGTTATCATAATGTGTCCGTAGGACTACACCATCGGCCATAACTCTATGTCCTTCTGTTTGAATACCCTACAAGGGATAAAAGCAACAAATTCTCACATTTCAAATTTTCACATACAAAAAAATAGTTTCCTTCACATTTCTAATTTTCACATACAAAAAAATAGTTTCCTTCACAATTAAAAAATCTTCATACCTTCTTAATCCCCCCGCCACCCACCGACTTCCCTTTTCTCTTCTTACTCTTTCTCTTCATGTACTCCTTCATCATCATCTTCATAAATCCTCCAGAACTAGAATCAGAATCCTCATTGCTCGAATGTTCAGATTCCTGATCATCAGGTTCTTGATCATGATGTTCTTCTTCTTCACCATCAATTCTCTTTCGTTTACCAATCCACATTTTCTTCGATTGGCCCACAGGTTTCAGAGTCAATGACAAACCCACAGGTTTGCGTACCTCTCTTTTTAATGGACCCTGAATATCATCTTACAAATTAGTTCCACTTTTTAAATATAAAATCACACCAACAACAACAACAAATAAATACTCACCCCCCACTTTGTCCGATTCATCAACCGAACAATTGACTTTTTCTTCATCACTGAATCTGCACATAATTTACCAAACATTAGCTTTCTAACAGAATATACCTTAATCATTTCAAATAAACTCCTTACAAGAATCTTACAAAAAAGGCATAACAATAAATAACTGATTACAAATACAACAAAGGCACCACTACTAATGACATAATTCTAAAAACATTATGCCAATTATACAAAACAAACCAAACGCAGAGAACCCATAAACCATGAAAGATTCCATCATACCATGAAATAAAGCGGACATTATTTCTACAATCACAGTAAAGCAGACAAGCCATACACACATTCATATGGTCACAAAAACCAAGCATTAAACCATTACCCAAAAACACATTCTCACTACCCTTATAATTAATAAAACAGTTCCACCCTTCCCATATTTTGTGCCAATTTAAACCGCATTTCCCCAAATGAATTTAATGGAAAACCTACCTTGCTTGAACTATTGCCTCAATATCTTTGTCCCAAGAATCATTCACATTTTCATTTTCACTTTGTTAAGCTATAGTTCAAATTACTTTGTCCCTAATGGTATATATCAATCAACATTGAAACCCACATCAACATCCCAATTGAAATTCGACATTTGAGGCTAAGGTGGTTAATGCCTTTGACAAAGAAATATATTTGAAGTTTTGCTGCAAAAAATTAGACTATTGAGGCTACAGTTCAAGCAACGATTTTACTGCAATTTATACCTACATTTGTACAATTAAAACCCACCCATCAAAATCCCAATTGAAATTCGACATTTTGGAAAACATATCCCCAAAATTCGACAACTACAAACCCTCGATTTCATAACCAAAAAAACCAATCTTTGATTCCAACAACACACAACAACAACTACAATGATATTAAATCAGACAAACCATACACACATTCATGTGGATACGAAGCCAAAACAGAAATACCAAACCTTAAACAATTTAACTCAACAATACGTTCTCACTACGCTTACAAAACCCACGCTGATTTTGTCCGGTTTTCGAACCTGATTTCCCCAATTCACAAACATTTAGAGCAATGATACTTGAATCTTTAGAAGTGTAAGGTATTTTACCTGTTCACTTTCTCCTACTTGTTTGGAGGCAATGCATCTGCACACGTTTAGAAGTCTCTGTTATGTGCTAGAAAACATTAGAGACAACAGTGAAGGTAAATATGAGAAGACTTACACAAGGGTTTGTGAAAACAGCAAACACTCAAAGCCCGGCTACTGCATAAATGACATGTGAAAATAGTTTTGATGATCTAATAGTCAGCAAAATTTCAAATATTTCCAGTTCTCTAAGCAAAGAAATGTCATCAATCATGTAAAGGGTGAAAAGTTAGCTATAGCTTAAAGTAAATCTTATTGCATAGTTAGCTGTAGCTTAAAGTAAATCTTATTGCATATTAGTGTGAGTTGTATCTGTAAGTGAATACTATTGCACACAAGCATTAGTTGTTAAGAAACATCCCAAGCGCAATTTTTACCCCTAAATTGAATTGAAATTTACCCCTAAATTGAATTGAAATTCGATAATTTACCCCTAAATTGAAAATTCGATAATTTGCAAAACCTTTACCCCTAAATGCCATAACACAAAACTAAAGGTAAAGGGATGAAAAAAGAATTCGGCTTTTTTTGTATGTTGTAAAGGAAACTGATGCAATTCAATAAACAGGTAATAAATTTATGTAAATTTTAATCTCTTTAAAAAAAAAAAACACAAATTCAGACAGAAATTCATGATGCAATTCAAACTCTCAGAACAAAACTAAAAACCCTAAAAAAACACTAGAATTCGACCCCTAAATTGAAAATTCGATAATTTGCAAAACCTTTACCCCTAAATTCGACCCCCGAAACCCTAAAATAGACCAAACACTAGAATTCATCAAAATTAACTAATCAAAGCAATAATCCTCGACTACAAGTTTAACCCCACAAAAAAAAATATATACCTGAAGGAGATTGACGTCGCGATTTTGACGGAGGTGGACGGAGATCCCAGCGGGGGAGAACCTATGAATCCAACAACTCTTCGTCGGGGGACGATTTTGTAGAAAATAATCGAAGGAGATTCAGATATTCAATTTCGACTAAGAGGAAAATTGGAATGATATACAGGAGAGAGAAAATACGACAAGAAAGAGGAACAACAGAGAGGAGAGAGAAAAGCTATAAGTGAAAAGGACGTCTCACACTTTCCTCGTAACGGAGTACTTTACCTCGAAACGGCATAAGCATCTGGCCAAATTCAAATTTCATATCAAAAGACAACTTTACTCCTACGAGACAACACCAAATATCTCGCAACACTCCGTTTAGAAAGCCTCTAAAATACCATTAGAAATTACAATTTACAATGAATTAACATCTTTCAAACCCATCAGAATCAAGAACCAACACAGCAACGCCCTTTTCCAACTTGTCCATCGTGTCTCCTTACCTTGGACTCGTGGAGTACTATAGGCTGCTGTGGTGGGAGATCTCATGGCCACTGCGGTGGGAGATCTCACGGTCACTGCGGTTCGATGCGTTAGTGAAGGCTTTCAAGAGAGGACACGTGTCCTAAGGGCCGCTGTTTTGCGGCTTTCTCAGGATTTGGGCCTCCTGATGTAAGGAGGCCCTTTATTCTCTTTTTCAGGTGCTCATGTAATAGTTTTACACGTGTCATCTTCCTATAGGGGCACATGTCGCTTCTTAATTTGAGCCACGTGTCTCTATGCGATTGGACCACGTATTTGGGGTATTTTCACACTAAACAGATACCCTACAAATTCCAGGTCTAAAATATTATCACCCGAAACCATAACCTATTGCAACAGGTTTCCAATTTTATTACCCGAAACCGGAACCTGATCTACAGGCTCTGGTTCCAGGTTAGGGTACCCTGAATTTTTGCTCACCCCTACTTATTAATAGTTCCTTATAGGGACGTTTTACCAAATTGAGCTTTAAACGGAAACTATTTACGAAAATGGTTGCGTGGCAAAACTATTTACCAAACTAAGCTTCCAGCATAAAACGCTGTCCGAGACAGCGTTTTATGCTCTGGTATTTTTTAAAAAAATATTCAGTTGGTAAAACGCTGTCTCGGACAGCGTTTTTACCTTTTGTATTTTTTTTAAAAAAAATTATTAACAATTGTATGTTGAACATAAAACGCTGTCTCAGACAGCGCTTTATGTACTACATACAACGCTGTCTGAGACAGCGCTTTATGTTGAACATAAAGCGCTGTCTTAGACAGCGCTTTTCTGCTGGAGACAGAAAACAACATCCTGCATGCAGGCTCCATTTCTACCCTGCAGACAGCACCCCCAGCCTTCAAACAGCCACCACCACAACCACCACCAACCCCTACCGTCCCACCACCGTCGACCACCACCTCCCGCCACTTTCGACCACCCTTACGCATTTTAAAACAGTCCAACTACTCCCCGCAACAGTACAACCACCCTCACCACCAACCCCTACCGTCCCACCACTGTCGACCACCACCTACCACCACCTTCTGGGAGTTCCGTCCACCTTAAGCACTTTAGAAAACTCCAAACACCCCAACAACAGTCCAACCACCATGAACCACCAAATTAACCACCACGGCCCTTGAATGATCTATTTTGACTAACATAAGTCCGATTTAGACAAATAAGGAACTAAACTTCAAAGCACACACGGAGTCATTCAAAAAACATTTATCATATTAATTTCATAAGTGTTATGTACATCATTCCACAAAATAACAGGCAATACAACAGATAATACTAGCCCGACTCATTTATTCGGGGTAAAGGTTCTGCCTCCTGTGTGTCAGCCCTCCGTCTGACACGTCGCCGCCTGTAATGAGTAATGGTGGTGAATGGGTCTCGGGGCGGTGGGGGAGTCAGCTGGCTGGACGAGGGGTCCTCCTGGGTACCAGAGGGCGCAATACTGTGGATGTTGTAATCCTCTGCGTGTCTGGGTGACGTAGGATCACATCCACCGCTGCTCTGGCCGAGCTCGAACTGTGAGTGGCCATCATGACCGTCCCGCCGGTGGACGAGATGAGCGTGACCATATCTCTGTAAGGTAGCGACGCCCATATCTCGCACCTGCTCGACCTGGGCTCTAGTAGGTCCGCATTCAAGGGAGACTGACAATGCATCAACCATCGCCACCATATCCGCCGCCTGCAGTAATCATCGATCAGTCAGATCTATGGTATACAAATTTGAAAATTGATGAAAATGAGTAGAATAAAAATAACTCACATATCCGCTAATGATGTCATATGCTGGATGGTAATGTGTGGATGGTGGTGCGTAGCTGGGGTTGATGAAACGTCATGTGATACGCCTGTACCACACCATGTACGGATCGTCAGGATCCATGACGCCCTGCATCAGATCACCTCCAACGACGAACAATTTCATGAACAATTTCATCAATAATTATCAACAACTTCAACAATTTCATGAACAATTTCATCAACAATGTACCACATCACCATCAATAATTATCAACAATGTACCACACATAAAGCGCTGTCTCAGACAGCGTTGTATGTAGTACATAAAGCGCTGTCTGAGACAGCGTTTTATGTTCAACATACAATTGTTAATAATTTTTTTTAAAAAAATACAAAAGGTAAAAACGCTGTCCGAGACGGCGTTTTACCAACTGAATATTTTTTTAAAAAATACCAGAGCATAAAACGCTGTCTCGGACAGCGTTTTATGCTGGAAGCTTAGTTTGGTAAATAGTTTTGCCACGCAACCATTTTCGTAAATAGTTTCCGTTTAAAGCTCAATTTGGTAAAACGTCCTCCTTATAGCCAATTTTAAGTCCCAAAATGATAATCTCATTTGCTTTCTTCAATCACCATTAATATTAATTTTACCAAAATTTCCTCCAATTTACAACGATATTTGTGCAAATTTAACTTTGCTGTATAAATTTTGCTTTTCCATGTACTTTTATTACTTTCTCTCTCTATTTTTTTTTGCGTACTAGTAAATTTACCTTTACAATGTACTTTTACTACTCCGTAATTGTTATTTATGTTTATTAATTCCCGTGAAAATTTCACATAAGAGACTATCATTGAGAGACAGAGGGAGTAATAAATACTGAAATTAATTATGAAATAAATAAAGATCTTCAAAATTAAAAATGATTTTTGTAAAAAAAAAACATTTTAATTAAGTTTGACCAACAAAGAATATATAAACCCATCAAAATTGAACATAGTTGTAGCCATTTTAAAGATGATTGAATTTTGGTCATATACAATAAATTACTTTTTGAATATGATTAACAGATTAATTACATAATTTTTATCATGTCCCAAGTATACAAGTGTGTAATAAGCAAATCTTCAATTTTTAAACTTAACAGCAGGTCGTGTAGTAAAATCGAAGCCAGTTCTTCATAAGAGGATGAAAGGATAGTTTGCATAGCATTCACTTTGGCTCTGCGCAACTAACACTGCATAGATTTTCAACAATACCAAATGATGGGACGTTAATATAACTCACTAAGTCCCATACCCAAAAACAAAGCGTACAATCCTTTGTAAGAGTTAAAAGATCATGTTCTTCATGCATAGGTTTTAGGGAGGGAGTGTTAGTCGCCAACCATGAAAACCTTTCTTGCAATCGCTAATTTTCCTCTGAAAACAGATTTTTACATCCACCAAAACCACAAATGTAGCCGAACTAGCAAAATTCAAAAATCAGTGTACTGTTAGATATGTATAGTAGCATCCCATAGCCTGAGTCGACCATCACGACCTCCACTGCAGATTGTCTTCCGGTCAAGGTCTGAAGCTACACATCTAACCACGGAAGCTGAAAAATGTGAAGTCCTGTACAGCTGCCACCCACCTGATCTATCCTGAGACTGATGATATAGCAGCATAGAATTATCTGCAGCCCCAATCCCCAACCATTGCTCTTGAGCATTAATAGACAATATTGAACTATGAAGATTTATATTTTTAGTACATTCGATGTTGTAAGCAGAATTTTCCCAGAATCTAACCGAGCCATCATCAGAGCCTGTTATAATCCCTCCATCCAAAGCTGAATACTCAACGCACCGAACTGGCCCCCCATGACTTGCCAAAATTACATCGCAAGAACCTCTTGAAATTGACCAAATTCTAGCACTCCAGTCATCACTTCCAGTAATCACAGTGTCTCCCACCATCCTGATGCTACGGATCCATTTCAAGTGGCCAGATAGTTTGTGGACTTGCTTACCAGCACGGATGTCCCATGTGTGCACAGTATTATCTCTACCAGCAGCAGCCAAGATTCCAGTAGAATCATCATATTCCATGCAAAGAACAGAACCTGGGCAACGGGCAACTGTAGCTATGCAACTACCATTTCTGGCATCCCACATTTTGACTGTTCCGTCATGGGCAGAACTAAGGACACGGTCTCCTGAGAGCATGCGGACACTACTAATCTGTGCCTCATGCCCCTTAAGCTCTTCAAGAGGGATAAACTCATGTTTATCCCAGATCACAATAGACAGATCATCAGACCCTGATACCACCTTTTCTCGATCGGAACTTATTGCACGGACAGCACTGGAAAGGAAGCATGATGTTATGCAGAAAGAAATATAGACAACAAATTTGGCCATGATTAAGGAAGACAAGTATAACTACAAAGGAACACAACTTTTGGAGGAAATAAGATCTTCAAGGAAAAATAAATTCCTTTTCACCCTGTGAAGCACATGAAGAAAACAAACGATAGATAAAGAAGTCAGATGATTACCCTGTATGACCTCTTAATGTTGCGCGAAGTTCAGAACCATGACTACTAGGATCCCATATCTTAACCTGGATATTGAAGGAGATAGTGAAAGATGAGCAATATAACTCAAAGTAATTATTCACCATGTACTTTATGGAATTTGGATTAATCTTGAACAGTTTGATTACCTTTCATATGATTATTTTTTAATCAATCAATCAAAGCCTTAATCCCATAATTGGGGTCGGCTACATAAACCAAAAGAGATTATCATTTTTAATCTTGTGATTAATTTACTACATAGAATTTATCTGTTTCTAATAATTGAATATTTTTTATCATCTTATGATTAATTTACTTCATGGAATTATCTGTTTCTAATAATTGAATATTTTTTACCATTTAAGTAATAATCATTTTTTGTTCATGTAGCCGACCCCACTTATGAGATTAAGGCTTTAATTGATTGATTTAAGTTATACGGATTTGAAGATTAACACAATCATCAATAAATGCCAGAAAATGCTTTTGTCAATTTTATTGGCACAAGGCAATTATATTATTTTTTTTTACTCTCTCCAATCTCCATCTTTAGAGGGTGATGTGGAGGAGAAAGTGTTGTAAACACAGACACTAACCGTGCGTTTGGATTGAAGGAAATGGAGGGAAAGGAAGGGAAGGGAAATGGAGAGATGGGGTATATTTCATTTGGAAAACATATGAGGATGGAAGGGAATTGGAGGGGAGAGAAATGGGGGAATTAAATTGTAGGAAATTGATCCCTCCATCAATGGAGAGATTTGGAAGGAAAACTCACCATTCTTCCCTCCCCTCCTCTTCTCCTCCCTCCCCTTCTTTTTCTTCCCCTTTCTTTATCCAAACACACTGTAAATATAAAAAAAAATTAATAATATTGGGAGTTGATGCATGGCCCAAAAATGCAACTTGTAGTAAAAATGTATATGATTCAATACTATATCTCGAACAAATCTAAAGATTGGCCCTAATATGAATGTTGCTTAAGCAAGAATCATAAGAGAATATCAGTCTTAAAAGGGAGTTTTTCCAAAACAAAACTTAACAATCAACTAACTTAGTAACTTACTGAGCAGTCAGTACTTCCACTTATAAAGAAGCCTGTATCTTCACGATCACCAATCAGATCGCAAACCTCTCTTCTTGTGACACAATGTAAAGCAGTAATCGCTTTAAGATGGCCTTTAAGAACTCGCACATTTGTTTGACTTCTCCTTTGTCCCGGATTTGGAAAATTTTGTTTGCGGGGTGTACCAATCTCAGTTACATCTGGCATAGAACGAAGTATGATTGTCACAAAAAAATTAATGTCTCGATTGATAAATACAGTAATCTGTAATAAACAACATTTTGGAGGAATGAGTGTGGCAATACCTGCTGTTTCGGTTTCAAATGTCCAGCCACGAGCATGGCTGAAAGAGTTTACTTTTAGCACTGATTCCCTCCCAAACATGCTCCTGACCCAATTTTTTGCAATAGTAGATGCCTTGGAAGGTTGATTATCTACTGTAGCATCTCGAAAATGAGGGGATTGAAAACCCGAAGAAGACAATGATTGAGCCTTTAAATCAGATATCCCCCAGTAAACCATTTGTAGCTGATGAACATATGAAAGGTACCCTCTAAGTTGTATCTGAAACAATTCAATACATTTAGCTCATATCGGATGATTAATTGATTATAACTCAAGAATATGGATAAGCTTCTGAAAAATGCTTGATGGGAAAAACCTACAGAAAAAACAAATATCTGGAACTTATGGTTAAAACTTGAAAGCTAGAAATACACTGGAAGAAAATGATAATGATGGGTTTGATACTTTGATGTATGAATAGGCAAACAAACTAAGGGATCAAAGTTTCTTTTTAAAAGTAGAATAGTGAGATTTTATGGAGGTAGTCTTGTCAAAACAACTGCATAAGAATAATGGATATATACTCCTTCCAAACAATCAGAATACTAGATGATCATAGCACTTTTCCCAATGCTACTTGAAATGCTATTTAACCATTCCTAGGAATGAACAGATGACTGGCTACATGCAAATGAAATTTAATGGCTGTGGAGTGAGAAGACATTACAGAAATTGTTAGCACTCACATAATGCTCATAACTGACATTTTTCTGTGCGATACTTTGTATAATTGGCCACGCATCTGTATCAGCCATACCCAAGCCACCCTTCCAATTGAATGTAAACAGAAAATATTACATATCTGGTCAGTTAATAATACAGTTCGCATTACCAAGTGAGAACAAAATGTTTACAAGTACCATATGTGATGCTATCAAGATCAGTTGTGACATAATGAGGCTCTCATTACTGGAAGACCTGAACCATAAACATTGTGGAATTAGTTAAATTTTAAAGGCAGGATGTAAACCAGAAGGAAAAAGAATATTTCATTCTCTACATCAGTCACATGGCATCAGCTTCATCTAATTGGAGATCCATGCCATCAGAATTCTCTTTAGGAGTTATAAAAAGTTAAAGAAAGACCTATTTCATGTTTTAAAGACTACAACCAATTGGGAACACATGTCTCTCGTGTGGGGTGGTGGTTGAAATAATTTTAATCTAATCTGCTTTGACTTGAACTTATTTTTTTTATCTAATTTTATTTAAACTTATATTTTGATCTGATTTTGGTCTCA